AATTAGAACCAGTCAGCCTTGGCCACAGTATTCTAGAGTTGTCATGGCAGGGGTCTTAAAAGTTTGATGTCATCTTGACGTCAGTAAAAAGTCAAGAGATAGACCGGATTGGGACTCTCTGGAAACTTCACTGGGATCCCTAATAAGACTGGAGTGCAGGAAAGGCACACTGTCCCTCTCCTCTCTAAAGGACCCATTCTCTTCTTGAGAGTGAACTCTTTACCTTTTCCTATTCCTTCAGTAAACTTATGCCTGTTATTCTGAATGACATATATGAAATCTTTCTGTCTTGATTGCAAGAATTGGAATTTGAAGGGGGGTGTTTTTGTGCTGCCTCAGTTTCCCAGAAGACCCTGACCTGGTAGCAGCTGCAGGAAGCGAGTCACTGGGGACATGCCCTTGGGGATTATATGTTGTCTCTGGTTCCTCATACACTCAACTTTCTGGCTCCTCATAAGCTTGTTCTCTCTCTCTCTCTCTCTCTCTCTCTCTCTCTCTCTCTCTCTCTGGGCCCCAGGAGTTGAGCAGCTTTCCTCCACCATGCCCTTCCACCATGGTGTTCTACCTCACCTTAGGCCCAGAGCAATGGAGTTGGCCAAACATGGACTGAACCTCTGAAACTGTAAGCCTCAAACAAACTTTTCCTCCCCTAAATTGTTCTTGTCAGGTATTTTGGTCACGGTGATGAAAACTTGACTAATGCAGTCATGTTGTATAATTATCTTTATATAGTGTGGATTTAATTTGCTAATATTTTGTTGAGGATGTTTGCCTTTACCTTCATTAGAGATATTGGTCTGCAGTTTTCCTTTCTTATAATGTCTTTTTCTTGGTATTAGAGTAATCTTGACTCATTATTCTAGAGTTAGAAAGTAGATAGCCAGCTTGGAGGGTGACGAGTTTGGCAAGCAGGTTTAACTCAGGTTGAGAGATAAAAAATTTATCTCCTAAAACAGCATCTAAGTAATTAGCAGTGGGATTCCTAGAACCATCAAGCCTCAGTTCCTATTCCAGTCCTGCCATGCCATCTGCATGATCTTGGATCCGTTAATGATTAATTCAACAAATAATTATTGAACATGTGCTGGGTACTAGAACAATAGCACTGAATTAAAAAACTAAAATCCTTGACTTCTTACAGCTTACATCTTAAGGTTACATTTTAAAATTCTCTGTGCTTCATTTGCCCACATCTATAAAATAGAAATGACAATATAACTATCTCTTGGGGTTGTTGCATTATATAAGTTAACATAAATAAGAACATTCTATGTAAGTGTCTGATATTATTATTATTATAACTAGTACTATGCACAAGTGATAAATATTATTATCTATTGACTGAGTTCAGTAGTATAATCTAGGAGATTCCCAGACCATTCTCCCCACCCTAACTCTGGACTTCTGTCATTTCTATTTATTTATTTAAATTAGGTATACATGACAGCAGAATGCATTTCAATTCATAGTATACATATAGAGCACAATTTTTCATGTCTCTGGTTGTATACAAAGTAGTGTCACACCATTTGTGTTTTCATACATGTACCTAGGATGATGATGTCCATCTCATTTTACCATCTTTCCTGCCCCCATGCCCCCTTCTCATCGCTCCCTCCCCTTTGCCGCATCAAAGTTTCTCCATTTTTCTCAAGTCCCTCCCCATTATGGATCAGCATCCACTTATCATAGAGAACATTTGGCCTTTGGTTTTTTGGGATTGGCTTACTTCACTTAGCATGATATTCTCCAGCGCCATCCATTTACCTGTAAATGCCAAAATTTTATTCTTTTTTAATGCTGAATAATATTCCATTGTGTGTGTGTGTATGTGTGTGTGTATATATATCACATTTTCTTTATCCATTCATCTATCAAAGGATGTCTAGTTTAGGTATTGTGAATTGAGCTTTGATAAACATTGATGTGGCTGTGTTACTATAATATGTTGATTTTAAGTCCTTTGGGTATAGACCGAGGAGTGGGATGGTGGGGTTCTGTCATTTTTGTGTCTCTGCTTCTTCAGTTGGTCCTCCTCATTGCCAGGCTCATTAACCTATCATGTGAAGTTTCTTCTCAGACCTAAAATTACCTGCCTAGCAGATAATTGGATGGCTATCTTTCTCCCTTTGAAATCTACCAAATTTTGTATTTTTGAAAGCAAAATAAACGACAAGTATAAATTAACTAATGCTCTGCGGTTTTTGCCTGTATTCTTCCTGAAGGTCATGGAGACTTGATCTGGTCCTAGGTTAGAAGGAGGAGGGACTAGTTTTATTTTCTCTAGCCTTCACTGAAAACAAGTTTGTAACAAGCCCTACCGGAGTAGGAAAACCCAGTACTCCATCCAGCCTGGGTAACTTTTCACTATTTAGCAAGACCAAAGGACATGGGAAAGAAAACTCACTTCCTGCAGATAACAATTCTACTTCTTTGTACCAGGAATACCAAGCTATACCTATTCATCTTTATTACATCCACAAAGTCCCCCAAACAACGCCTGTTCAGCCTGACAGAAGCCTTATAGTACCTAGAGAACAAGGTATGTAAAGACAGGTAATTATAAAAAAGTCTTATTACTATCTCTGGCTTATTACCATTAAACACAATAACAGGCTTTGAATGACCAATTGTCCAAGGTTTTGTTACCAGTCCAGCTGGCATCCCCTGCACCCTAGTTCTCAGTTCACCTAATTCCTCCTCAATGGTCCTCAGGTTCACTTCTCAATTCTAGATAGAACTAGCTCTTTGCTCTGAAGTTCCAAACTGAAATCGATAATCTGAGCCTTCCTCGGACTGTTCCACATTTCTCTCTCTCTCTCTTTCTTTCTCTCCCCACTCCATTTCCTGGAAGATACTCATCATTAATGTTGAGAGAAAGCCTATTTTTACTTTTTCCTTTTCTTGTCCCACTCTTCAGTTTAGAACTTTCATGGCTATGCTATCCCTACCTAGTTATGCTGGTTTCTCTTTAGTATACTGGTCCTTTGAATTCTTTCTCTTAGTTTTTTTTTTTATATTCCTCATAACTGAATGTGAATCATAACTGCTCCAACCAAACAGTGCTTGGGAGAAAGCTCACCAGAGCTGCCGAACCTCAGTTCCTTTACCTGCATCAGGCGTTTAGCTTGGCAGATCTCGTAGCTCCATGGAATACACCCAGTGCTCTGCATTTTGTGGGACAGCAACCCAAACTCCCTTTATCTCCACAGTCCACTGCCAGCCTGATCAGTGCGACTGAAAGGGGAATCAGCACGCAGAGAGGAAAAAGAAGACACAGATCTGGGAGAGTCAGGGCAGCAGCGAGTGCTCTGAGGCACCAGTCCCCTCCAAACACTATTGTCAATACCCCTTCCTCACTGTGTGTCTAACTTTCTCTAGGGAAAGAATTGAAAAGACTGGCTCTGAACAGAGTCAAATTCTTTGGGTATTATTGGCACTATTAGAGGAAATTGGGCCTAAGACTAGAATTCTTCTTCCTCTTGAGAAAAGAAGGAATGCTCCAACAACCAGTAAAAAGATCAGATCTAACATAATTGTCCAGAAAAAATAGTAGTTACGTTGGATCAGTAGCAAAGAATGCTGATTTTTTTATCTCTGGATTTTTCTTTATAAGTGTGGTGAAATTTTAACTATTTTTAAGGGTACAATTCAGTGCATTAAGTATGTTTACAGTGTTTTATAGCCATCACTACCATTTGTATTCAGAACTTTTTTATCATCCTTAACAGAAATTCTGTACCCTTTAAGCAATGACTCCCCAATTCTCCTCCCCTCAGCCCTTAGTAAGCTCTATTCTACTTTCTGTCCTGATGACTAGGTAGGTGCCACATGTAAGTGGGATCATATAATAGTTGTCTTTTCATGTCTGACTTATTTCATTTAGCATGATATTTTAAAATATGGAGTTAATATACATGCATCTACTTCCCTTTCCTTTATCACTCTGATCTCAATAAAGAAATTAAAGTTGCTTGTGGAGTGATTGGTGGAGGTTTTGGAAAGAATAGAGATGTCTGTGAGCTTTGGGCAATAATGAATATGTCAATCTATGGAGATGAATGGTAAAAAGCAGAGTAAGTGTATAAAGGTGTCAGTCTGTAAAACAACATCAGACTCTTCTAGAGGTCATGGCTCACATAGTTGAGTATGGGAAGAGCCCCACGTGAAAGAATACAAGAGAAACACACCAGCTGGCCCAAAGAGATGCTAAGCAATTCCAACAGGCAATGGCAGCTGGCCTCTCAGCTTAAGAGGCTTGGGTTTTTCTGAACTGGAGAATGAGTTTCCTTGAGTTCTGATCTGGTTAGAATGGCAACAAAGAAATAAGGGCAAAATAGAGAAATTCAGATGCCAAAGTGAATCCTGCCTCATAGTTTCTAAATTCTTCCTCTTCAACCATTCTCAACCTTAAGTTACAGTCTTGAACATTCATGGACTGGGAGAAGAAAGGGGAAAATTTGAAATAGCAGGAAGGAGTATGTGGGAGGAAGATGGAAAGAGAAGACATGGGAATCTCTATCCTCTCTTCACTTTCCGCTTTATCTGTCCTACCACACTGATGGAGGAGGTTGGCACCATTGTCAAGTGTGTGGAGGAGAACACATTGCCCAGGAAAACTGAGATTTAGGCTTTATAACCCTCAACTTTCTTCAGAATAAAGTTACCTTAGTTCACCTTTTCTTCTTTATCATAGGAAGGTATGTTAATTTGTAACAGATGCCATAACAAATTGCTACAAACTAAGTGGCCTAAATAATGTAACTTTATTTTCTTACTGTTCTGGAGGCCAGAAGTCTGAGACAGATGTTAGCAAAGACGTGTTCCCTTTAAAGATGCTGGGAAAGGATTGGCTCAGATCTTTCTACTAACCTCTGGTAATTCCTTGGTTTGTGGCAGCATAACTCCAAATCCTCATATAGTTTTCTGTGTGTGTGTGTGTGTGTGTGTGTGTGTGTGTGTGTGTCTGTCTGTCTGTCTGTCTTCTGGAATTTTCTTACCTCACCAGAAGTTCTTTTTGGGGACCACTCAAATTTGGGCCAACACCACTTTGAACTGGTCATCATGTTTTTGTTGATGCTTTAGATCTCATTTTAGGCTCATTCAGTCGGTCTCTGAAAGTTCTAGACACCCAGTAATCACAGTGGCTTGAGAGGCTGAGGCAGGAGGATTGCAAGTTCAAAGACAGCTTCAGCAATTTAGCAAGACCCTGTCTCAAAAAAAAAAAAAAAAAAAAGGCTGAAGAGGTGACTCAGTGGTTAAGAGCCCCAGTCAATTCCTGGTACCAAAAGCAAACAAATACATAAATAAATACAAACAATGATAAATACTAGAGAGAACAAGGGAGAAAAGGAACCCTTTTACATTGTTGGTGGGATTGTAAATTAATACAACCACTATGGAAATCAGTATGGAGAGTATGGAGGTTCTTAAAAATGTTAGGTATGGAACCACCATATAACCCAGGTATACAACCCGTCCGTGTTTATCCTAAATTGTTAAGGTCAACATACTATATCAATACATAAATACTCATGGTTATAGCTGCACAATTCACAGTAGCCAAATTATGAAATCAGCCAAGGTGTTGGTCAATGGATGAATGAATAAAGACAATGTGATATACATACACAAAGGAGTTTTATTCAGCCATAAAGAAAATAAGATTATGTCATTTGCAGGAAAATGTTGGCATTTGATAACATTATGTTAAGTGAGATAAGTCAAACTCAGAAAGCCAAAGGTCATATGTTTTCTCTCATATGTGCAAGATAGAAAGAAAAAAGGGGGAAGAAAGGTGTGAGGAAGATCTCATGAAAATAGAGAAAAGGGATTGGGGGAGGTAAGAGGGGAAGGAAAGGGGAGATACTGCAGAACAATTCTGATCAAATTATATTGTCACAGTGTGTGTGTGTGTGTGTGTGTGTGTGTGTGTGAGAGAGAGAGAGAGAGAGAGAGAGAGAGAGAGAATATGTGACAATGAATCCCATTTTATATATAATTATAATGTGTCAATAAAAATATGGAAAAATAAAAGCTTTGAAAACTTCTAAAAGACTGAATTTAAAAAGACAACAAGAAGCTTCTTAGCTATTAAAATTTATGAATATATGGATTATGCAGGTACACTGAGATACCATGCAACAAAACAAGGCTAAGCAAGACACTCAAATCAGAAAGAGACTCTTGCTACTTTTCTGAGCTGTTGTTTTATGGTCACATGGGACTCCTATTCATTCTTTCTCACACAGGTGAATTCTGATCCGAGGCTAGAATGGTATAACACTGGACTATCAATCATGCTGTCATTGAAGAGAAGCAATTTTCTCTCTTTCCAGGGTGCAATCTGGATTGTATTGGCCAGTAGATAGGGCAGCAGGGACTACATCCTGCAAAAAAAGCAGCAACACTATTCCCTAAATGAGTAATTAAAGCTGAACTCTGGGCTCTTTTCTAGCATTATAAAATCAGCATGCTCACCCCACACATCTGTGGGGAACTGAGAAATGCCCTCTCTGTGGAGCAGGGTGCAGGAGGGGAGTAGGGACCTCTCTGAGCACCCAAGCACTACAGGAATGTCTTGTTGGGCAAAAGTGTATCAGTACCATGTATCTTCTAACCAGTTGCAAGCTTTGTGAGAGCATTTATTATACTCCTACTCTATTCTGACTCCTTTTCTCTCTCTTGCCCAATTTTTATACTGATGTGAAATGGAGGAAAATAATGCCTGGAGTGAAATTTTTATATAGGAGGATGTTTAATTATAATGTTTTTTGTTGTTGTTGTTTAGAGGAAGAAACAGAGACATTTAAGAAAACAAAATCATAAGCAAAAGGTAGGTGAATGGGAGGAAGAGAAGAAATGAGAAAGGAAGTGAATAACTAGCAAAGTCTGTGTAGTAGTAAACATTAATTTACCTGAACAAATTTTCCCACTTGTCTGTCTTAAGAATAATAAATTGGCTTTACACCTTAAAGAAGAACAAGCTAGAAATCTTCCTTGGAATTCCATAGGTAGTAACCTCTGAGAGAGAGTCCATCCTAATTCTCCCAGGATAACTCAAGTACTACAAATGGAAATATCTTTAGTGACAGTTAAAACGAACAAACATCCTAGTATTTGCCCTTGAATCTGGAGACCCCCAGTTTGGAAAACACACTTTTAATCACCTGGATCTGCCACACAGGGCTGGATAGGATTGAGAAAGTTTACATTTGCTTGACTTACAGTGAGAAAAGCAGATAGTCACAGCTTCAAGCAAAACTTGTTTAGGAGGAGAGGGCTGAGATGAGGAGACCAGCATGAGTGGGTGACTTAGGTGGGCTCAGGATTCTGTAGAAGGGTCCCAAATGACTTAGTTGAAATTGGGTTGCTTGAAGAATAAAGCATTAAGATGAAAGAAATTAAGGGCATAAAAATAGGAAAAGAAGAACTTAAATTATCACTATTTGCGGATGACATGATTCTACACCTAGAAGACCCAAAAGGGTCTACAAAAAAACTACTAGAACTAATAAATGAATTCAGCAAAGTGGCAGGATATAAAATCAACA